TGTGTTTAGACATTACATGTACCTTCATCAGGCTGATGTTTGTGTTGATATGCTCAAATCAGAATCCGAAAGGTTGTATTGCCAAGTAGGTTTTCACATAGAAGTAACTGGTGTTTTCGTGCATAACAGTGAACAGTAACATATAGATTAAAAGAAACTGTTGCCAGTCAGTAGGCAGTAAGTGTTAAAAGACAAACAAGAAGCAAGTGTTACAAACCAAATTAGCAGGAGCACAAGATAATATCTTTATAGACCAACCAGCTTCACGTCAGCTGCAGTGTCCTATAATAAAATCTACATGGCTGCAGAGAGGACTGGAGATGTAGATGTTATCACATTAAGTTGAACAAGCAGCAGAAAGGAGCATTTGATCCTTTAACTCGAGTGTACAGGAATCTCTCGTTTGACTGGAAATGACAGGGGAAAAAAAGGGGGCATACAACTCACTCTTACTTTAAAGCTGCTCAGATACCCGCTTCTGTTTCCTTATTTTACTGTAAAGGTGAGTGGGCGGATGTAACATAGAGGGTGAGAAAGAAGCAGACGGGAAGAGGGGGGGTGGCTGAGAAAGAGAGAAAGAAAAGACACACTGGGAGAGAAGGATCAGAGCACGCTTGGTTACGATCAGCCCGACCGCCGAGCCCTGAAATAATGTGATAGAAGAGAACAAGCGGGAATACTTCATCTGGGAGGGACCTGTTTTTCATTTGACATGGAATACCAGACTGTTCAGATGGAAACAGGTGATAAGCTGCTTTTTTTTATTCACTTATGTGGTTTTCCTGCACAGTCAGATCATGTCAGAGCACCTGTGTTATGATGAATAATAGATCATGTTGCCATAATGTGAACCCCTGTCCAATAAATAAGCTGCTGTATTTGTGTGTGTGTGTGATTAAATAAGTTTTGTTAAAGCTAACAAAGAGGTGCTGGTGCTAATTGTAGTCAAAGATAAACGGATTGCATTTGAAAAACAAGGTTTAATTTGCATCAGCTGAAGGAAAAACAACGTAAAGGCTGTCGAACCTGCAGAGAAAATGTAAAAAGATGTAAAAAAGAAGGTGCTATTCTGTGCGCCGCTACTCTATATGTTGTGTGAAACAAAAGCACAAGTGTGAAAGGGAGCATGTGTGCGTTGTGTGAGGGAATGCGTGTTGAGCGGCGCTGGGAGGGAGGTGGGTTTGTGTCAAAGACAGATGGTCACTCAGTGGAGTTGTTCCCCCACTCCCTCTCTCTTTCTCACTCCCTTCTGGGTCCTACATCCTTCCCCTGTCACCTCTCCAGAATCTTACCTCATCTGTTTTTTTTCTTTTTTCTTTTTTTTCTCTCTTCTCCTCCACACACCTTTTACATCCTTTCCTGCATCACTCCAAATCCAAACTCCCATCGCTTCGCCGTGCCTCATCGCTCTTCCTCTTAACTCTCTCTCTTCCCCAGCTACAACTCAGCATCCTTCATAGTTTTTTGCTGAAGAAATCAACTTGGAAATACCAAGAGATTTTTATTTTTGTTGTTGTTGTTGTTTTTTTTTTTGGTGATTGTCATTCTGGACCCTTTTGACGCAGCACGTAGGACGCTGAAGACGTTTGGGATTCGAGGGGCCAAAGAAGAAAACTGAAAAAGGCTGTGACTGACAGCTATGACCGTTTCTGTTGCATTACTGATGGTGCCAGTTAGAGGTTGAAGTTTACAGTCGCAGCCTCGAGAAACCCTGAACTGTTGTCCAAAGTGACACTTCTACGTAGCGTAATCAATCAGAGGTATTTAATCAAACATCCAAGGTTCAGTCATGCACCTCAGGTCAGTCCACGCTGACCTCCTGCTCCTGCTGGCTGTGCTCCTGCTGTGGGGACCTCTGGGGTCCAGGTGCCAGAATGACACAGAGCCCATCATCCTGGAGGGGAAATGCTTGGTGGTATGTGACTCCACGCCGTCGTCCGAGCCCGCCGGCAACGCCCTGGGCATGTCTGTGCGCTCGGGGTCCGGCCGAGTGGCCTTCTCCGCCAGCCGCCAGACCAACCACGAGCCCACGGACATGAGCAACCGCACCATGATCATCTACTTTGATAATGTGAGTATGTGGTTGCAGATATCTGTCTTCAAACAATGCCAGTGCAGTTTTTGTTTTCTAAAAAGCCCATGACAAATACTCCCTAAAAGTTAGAAGTCAGATCATGCATCATTTTCCCTAAATATTTAACAAAAAAAGCTTATTTTTTATGATGCAATGAATGCGCTTAGATCATTTCTTTCCAGCTTTTGTCAGCTGTTCTCTAAGTATTTTGTAGACAGGAGTCTTCAAACAACAATATGCACATTAGAGTTTTGACATTGAGGAAAAATGATAATGAGGCATTGGATTATGCTGCACTGGCTGCTTTCTCATGAATGTTTTGGTGAATGGAAATCTAAAAATATGACTTAGTAATTTGGGAGACCCCTGCGTTCGCTGAATACACTCTTTACAGTTTCATGTATGTATCACACACCTTCTCGTCTGTCTCCCTTCTCTCTCTTCCTCACCATCGGTTCAGATTTTGGTTAACGTGGGCACTCATTTCGACCAAGAGAGTAGCGTCTTCCTGGCACCGAGGAGAGGGGTGTACAGCTTCAACTTCCATGTGGTGAAGGCCTACAATAGACAAACCATCCAGGTATGCTTCCTCAGCTATTTCTACTGCCACTCCAGTGGATCAGCATGCACTCTCTGATCCTTTTGTTTCCCGTCTCTCAGGTCAGCTTGATGGTGAACGGCTGGCCGATGATTTCAGCCTTTGCTGGGGACCAGGATGTGACCAGAGAAGCTGCCACCAACGCCGGCCTGGTGATTATGGAGAAGGGGGACAAGGCCTACCTCAGACTGGAGAGAGGCAATCTGATGGGAGGCTGGAAATACTCCACCTTCTCTGGGTTTCTGGTTTTCCCCTTGTGAGGAAGGTGGCAGGTGATGAGAAGGTGGATAGAACAGGAGTGAGAATCAATAAGAGAAACAGGAGGAGGTGGTAGGTGAAAGGAAAGGCTTCGATCTGTAGCGCACATGAGACGGAGGCTTTTATGACAAAAATGAGGTAAAGATTGTACAAATAATTCTCACCTGAGACCAAAAAAATGGATTTTAAAAAAGAGGCAAAAGCATTAAGTAAACATGATTTGTCTGTGGAATTCCTTTGCTCTGTTTCTGTGTATTGATATGTGTTGGGTTTGTATAAGAGATATTTTAATTGTGACCAAATTATAAAGTAGCCATGTGCAATGTGGGCTTTTGTGCTAAGAATATGTGAAAGCCTCTATCCTTTTTTTTTTTTTCCCTTCCGACAACATGTTTAAAACAGCGCTGTGCTCCTCACGGCATCCTGTCCAGCTTCAAACAAACTGTAGTGTGCTGTACGACTGATGCTCCTCTATATGCCTGTTAGTATCCTGCAACAAATGTTTATTTACAGAGAAATTTCTATCGAGAACAGAACATTGAAATAAAATCGTTTAAATTTGTCTCAGTATATCACTTTGAAGGAGGGACTGCATGCTGACCAAGGGTGTGGCGACCGACCAGCACTGGCCAACATATTTTACAAATTAGACACATGTAACTATATTATAAATAATCTAGTTCCAGTGACTTTCTGGTTGACAATCCAACACAGAAACAACGTACAGGACAGTTATGATTGCAGATTGTCTCTTCAACCTCCGTACACTCAGATTTCGAGTGGAACTATTTTACCAAAAAGAGACAAAACATACAATAAACAAAGTTAAAAATGATGTTTGATTTAAAACAAAAATAAAAATCCATTGATATCGCGATAAAATCATTATCGTGAACTCTTTACGATACGATTATCGTGCAGTGAAAAAACTGACATCGCGACAGCTCTAATGTAGGCAATGTTTTCTGGACATTGTTTATGTGACAAGTTTTAATCTGCTTATACGAAGCAATATTTCTCCTCCCTTTCATGGAACCCTACGCAGTGCCACGGCAGCTGTTTGTAAATATAGCTCCCACCAGCAGAGTTGGCGTTGGCGTGGAGCAAGCAGAGCAGCGTGGGACAGAGTATAAGTGTGGCGTATAGCGGATACTCCTCGCAGGGTCGCAGACAGATGGAGGCTTTGGCGAGAGGCATGCTCGTCTCTGCAGGGCTGCTATGGATAAAGAGTGGTGCGCTGTCACATGTTGTCACTTACGCTTCCCTGGTTCATGGCCACCGTCTCTTTCTCTCTCTCTCTGTCTTTCTCATATTCACTCCATGATCGTGCCTTGATGATTTTATGATGAACCAGTAAGAATTCCTCAGAAGAACCAAACTAAGACATTAATCCATGCTGTCATAATAATGCATCGACTGCAGCTTTAATGGTAAAAGATGGGAGACTGTGCAGACGTACTGCTTTTCTCACCATAATTACCTAAATTCATATGAAGAAAAATGCACCCTTTCCCAACTGTTTCCATCTTTATTGCTTTTGTCGTTAATCATCGTTGTTGTTACATTTAACCTGATAAAGAACAGAAATGGTAAATATTACTGGTTCAAATGAATGATTCAAAAGCTGGCCATACAAAGGGGACAACTTCTCCTGGGTTCGTAGATGCTGATGGACAACCAAAAGCTGCACATTCTCTGTGAAGCAACTGGTTGCTCATTGGAAACTTAAATGGAAATTTGCTCTTGAAATGCAATATCGTGACACGATGAGGCAGTCCTGTGACCTTTTCACCTGATGTCAATCCCCTGAGTCAAAACCTTATTATGAAACTTTTTTAAAAAAAATTCAGCTTATTTTATACTTAAACAGTTAATATTCCTAAATAGATTTGTGATTAATCTTCATCCTCCCAACACATTTAACATACAGGGCTTACACACTGGGGTCACTGGACTCGAGAATGACATACAAATACACAAACAGGCAACAGAGCAAATGTTTACTTACCTTTTTTCAAAACCTTTTTAAGTAGGTGACTGATGCAATCTAAAAAATATTATTTTAGGAAAGTTAAAGTTAATATTGTGCAAAACAAAATTATATACTTCTGTAGTACAAATTGCAGCTTTTATTCAAGTAAAATCCACTCATTGTAGCAGTGCCAAATCTGGCTAATCTTGACCTGCTTGCTATTGTTGCCTAAAAATCCAACACTGACGTCATGTAAAACTATGAAACTGTAGATTTAGTACAACTAAACACATCTTAGAAACAAATCATCTTTCTCCTTGCATACCTCTTCGTTTCACCTCCTTCCTCTGCAGCCTAAAAACTGGGTTCATGTGTTCTTTTCCCCCCAACTCACTATTTTAGTCGAATCCTGTATAATAGAACACAAACACGTAACACAATAGCCATTAAATGTTTTATCATGAATTCATGTATTGTATTTCTGACTTTAATCATCATTTTTAGGGCTGCAAGGTGGCTCGGTGGTTAGCACCGTTGCCTCGCAGCGAGAAGATCCCCAGTTCGCGTCCCGGTGAGGACACCCGGGATCTTTCTGCGTGGAATTTGCATGTTCTCCCCGTGCAGCGTGGGTTCTCTCTGGGTTCTCCGGCTTCCTCCCACACAGTCCAAAAACTAATTAAGGTTGGCTGGTGATTCTAGATTGTCCGTGGGTGTGAGTGTGCTTGGTTGTCTGTCTCTAAGTGTAGCCCTGTGATAGACTGGTGACCTGTCCAGGTGTCCCCTGTCTTCAATCTGAGTCAGCTGGGATAGACTCCAGCCCCCCCCCATGACTCTAGTGAGGATTAAGCAGTGTATAGATAATGGATGGAAGGCTGGATCATCATTTTTATTTAACGTAGAGCAATAGTTAGGGAAATCTGTGTCTGTCTCCCTCAGTGTCCTGAGCCCACATGATAGAGTATGATACTTTCAGATTTGTGGAAAACATGAACTTACTAATCATCTATTAAAATTACACAGGTGCAACTGGATGCATCTTGACCCAAGAACCTCAACACATTTTTTTTTTAAAAGAACAACTTAAAACAAAAACAATAATATGAGGTCATTTGGAACAAAATGATATGATGAAAAACTGGGATGATAGAATAAAGCGTCTGTGAGATATGACAGAAAGGATAGATCAGATTATCAAACAACAAAGCTGCTTCTACCATATACAATAATGAATGAATGGGAGGTTAATCTGCATGCAAAATAACCACTCTTGAAATAAAATTGGAAAACAAAAATGAAAGTCCAATAATCCTGTGTCGGTCTATGGACACTAGAGGGCGCCAACCTGCAGCCACACAGCGCTCAACCGCTCATAAAGCTCCCAGACCATCTCATTGGTTCCGAGAAGAAACCTGTGATCAATATCTCAGAATCACCTCACTAATAATCAGCAAAAATGCTATAATATGCTCATGTGGTCTGGATTCATATTTCTACAAAGTAACAGAGTGATATTACAACAGGTCTCCATTCATTTATTGATGTGTGCTGACTGCTCGGCTGTGACCAATGTAATAAAACGTTGAAAAAACTGGTGGTGTGTCATTCACAAACAGGCCAAATGTTCGTGCAGTGCGTTGAGCCCTTGAGATCATTAAAACACCGCGTATTTTTCCCCAGTCAGCTCTACAAGTCCTGTGCTTCCTAATGCGAGCATCCACGGTAGTAAAACATCAATGTTGAAGATCACTGAGTCAAATGATCCCAGCTAGGCCGCATTTATTGTTTTCTCAACCTAACTACGGCGCTCATCCCGCCCAGAAGCGGCTGGACCTATGACGGATAGCCGCTTCAGCCAATGAGAGCGCCGTATGCTGCCGGCTCTGGAGAAAACGAACCAATCAGCGCTCGATAACTTCCGAGGGGCCCGCTTTCTACGCTTTCTCTGGCAAGAATGTTAGTTCCTGCTCTTCCCTGGCCGTTTCCTGTAATCGTACAGTGTTGTGAGACGGAGAAAGCCATGTGTGTCGATGCAAAGGTAAATTTAGCACCCCGAAATTATTACTGTGAGAGTTGGGGCAGTGGATGTGGTGGTTATTTTCAGGTATTTTTGCCGAAAAATAGACGCAGACCAAGCGAAACAGTATTGCGGCCTAACGTGTGTCTGAACGTTGACGGGCAGTGGTTATTGTGGCACGTTGCTTTGGTTTGGTCCGGTTTGTTGATGAGATTGAAGGAGTCCGGTGGACTGAATGGTTCATAGTAAATGACAGAGAAGCGAACTAACGACTGCAAGCCCACAATACATCGTGTTTATGAGCCTGAATGTGTTTTCGGTGCCACACAGGCTTTTGTAAGAGGCACACTTTGGTCGCGGTACGAGCTAATGCTAGCCGACGGTTTTGTGAGAAAGACTGCAATACGACCAGAAAGGAAAGCATCCTGCCTCTCCAGCATCAGTACCCTCCTCATCTGACTTCCCTGCCCACTATTTTCATTCACTAAAGCTTCTCTGGCTACTTTATCGTTATATATTACTATTCAGGCAGCCTAATATGATTTTTTATGGCTTTTCAAAACCCTAAATATGACTTTGAATGCATTCCTGGGAAGTGTGGCCATGAGTTGGTTGCTATGCTCGAAAACAGTATTTTTAATACCTACCAAAGGCAAAGTCTAGTTTTGAGTGTGTTGTATGTCATTTAAACACTCTTTTTTACAACTTCTTAGCTGTTCATTTAGTTATGAGATGTACTTAACTCAGAAAGTAAACTGGATCATTTCCACCACAGCTGCTAAGATAAATTTAGGTTTGTTTTATGAAAGTTGTCTGTTTAAGCAAATTCTGCAGATTGTTTCCTGAACATTAAGAGCCAGACTTGTAGGATTTGTGTTGATACGCATCAGAGAACCAAAAAACACTAGGACCACAGGGTACAGTATTTCACCCCAATGTGCTTTCTGTTATTTGCTATTTTTTATGCTTAAACATCCTGAAACTTAACATTGAATAAGACGTGCTAGATTTCGGTT